ATGACCGTGGCTCCAAATCATGCATATGATATGTTAAAATGTTCATCTCGCTGAGATCTTCATGTTAGAAACATTTCCATGCACGTTACTGTCCATTATGATGCCTTTTTCATCGTTGCAAGAGTGCTATAAAATGTTAACTACTGGTTCTTAATAGAACATGGAGATTTGTCATTTTTGTTGCATTTTCTGTGAGCATCTTATGAGTATGAGGTCTATATGTGTTTTGAACTACAACATGTCATATTTACAGAAGTTCAAGCCTTGTATTTTTGTAATCTATGTGGTGACTAGAACAAGCATGCAAAGTAGGCTCCATAATGTTGCTGTTTTCAGGGACTTTGGATTTTGCTAAGTCCTTTTCCTACTGTTATTTTGATGTCATGTAAACTTGATGCTACCGTGAGATCCATGCTTATTTTGAGATACTACATTAAGGATGTTTTTAACATGTGGTTATGATATATCCATTCATGCCTCTGGTTGCAATTATGGGGTGCTTTAACATGTTTTTTCTTTCTCTACTTTTGCTATATATTATTCCTGGCAGATTGTTAACATGTTAATCAATATTGCCATGGTTGTTGCTAGTGATCCATGCATCCTATGAACTTGCTCTTGCCATTTATAGCTTCATGAACATGTATTCTTACTGTTTGTATGCTTGTGGTGTCATGTAATCCTTTGTGCTGAGTGGAGTGAGCTTGCAAAGTTTCTATCATGAATCTGTTTCTACCATGCTCTGTTTTTCTTCTAAGTCTGAAACTGTTAATATAACTTGCTATGTTTACATGGGTGCCATCATATCTTTTGTGCCTTTTTGGCTCATGATCAGTAAGGGAGTTTTGTTCTATGCATTTAGTAGAATTATGCTATGCCTTTGTTTTCTATGATATATTCCTGTAACATATTGTTTGCTTGCTCTAAACATTGCTTCCTGATATTGTTTTTGACATGTTAGTATTTTCACTAAGTCTATGAAGCTGATATCTTTTGCACTCTTGCCATGCTTGTTTGAACCTGTTCTAGTGTGATTTAGCCGTTGCTCAGTGTTCATGTTTTGTCAAGCATCTCTTCTAAATCACTGCCATATGCTTTGTTGCTATGTTGGAGTGCAGTAGCTTAGTTTCTTGTTGCATTCTAAGTGTCATCATGTTGTTAATCGTAGATTTGCGTCATTCTTGTTTTGCTTGCCATTTGCAATCCGTGCATCCGTTTTCGGTGATCCTTATATCAATTTCGACCAAAATCACCTCATCTTTCCAGCGGCATTCTTGGTTTGCCAAGTTGATGCCTTGATCATTCTTTCCTTTCCGGAACACGCATATGCATTGCATATCATATCTTGCATATCATGCCATGTATTGCATCATGTTGCTTGTGCATTTCATCGTGATTGATTGTTGTTCCATTGTTTGTGTTCTTGCTTTGGGTAAAGCCGGGAGACGAGTACGTGAACGAGGAACCTGTTGAGTATGCTATCGAGGATCAAGCTTTCGACAACTCTGAGAACATTGCAGGCAAGATGACCATACCCTCGATATCACTTCTATCTTTGCTCGCTAGTTGTTCGTTCTATCACTATGTCGCGCTACCTGCCACTTGTTATATCATGCCTCCCATATTGCCATGTCAAGCCTCTAACCCACCTTCCTAGCAAACCGTTGTTTGGCTTTGTTGCCGCTTTTGCTCAGCCCCTCTTATAGCGTTGCTAGTTGCAGGTGAAGTTGAAGTTTGTTCCATGTTGGAACATGGATATGTTGGTATATCACAATATCTCTTATTTAATTAATGCATCTATATACTTGGTAAAGGGTGGAAGGCTCGGCCTTTTGCCTGGTGTTTTGTTCCACTCTTGCTGCCCTAATTTCCGTCATACCGGTGTTATGTTCCTTGATTTTGCGTTCCTTAGGCGGTTGGGGATTTATGGGACCCCCTTGACAGTTTGCTTTGAATAAAACTCCTCCAGCAAGGCCCAACCTTGGTTTTACCATTTGCCTACCTACCACCTATATCTTTCCCTTGGGTTCTGCAGACTCAAGGGTCATCTTTATTTTAAACCCCCGGGGCCAGTGCTCCTCTGAGTGTTGATCCAAACTAGAGTCCTTTGCAGCACCACCTCAGGGAAAATTGAGGGCTGGTTTTAGTTGTACGGAGTGCTCATCCGGTGTGCCCTGAGAACGAGATACGTGCGACTCCTATCGGGATTTGTCGGCACATCGGGCGGCTTTGCTGGTCTTGTTCTACCATTGTCGAAATGTCTTGTAACCGGGATTCCGAGACTGATCGGGTCTTCCCGGGAGAAGGAATATCCTTCATTGACCATGAGATCTTGTGATGGGCTAAGTTGGGACACCCCTGCAGGGTTTAAACTTTCGAGAGCCGTGCCCGCAGTTATGTGGCAGATGAGAATTTGTTAATATCCGATTGTAGAGAACTTGACACTTGACTTAATTAAAATGAATCAACCGCGTGTGTAGCCGTGATGGTCTCTTTTCGGCGGAGTCCGGGAAGTGAACACGGTCTTGTGTTATGGTTGAACGTAAGTAGTTTCAGGATCACTTCTGGATCACTTCTAGCTTCTCGACCATTGTGTTGCTTCTCTTCTCGCTCTTATTTGCGTATATTAGCCACCATATATGCTTAGTGCTTGCTGCAGCTCCACCTCACAATCTTCTCCTACCCATAAGGTTAAATAGTCTTGATCTCGCGGGTGTGAGATTGCTGAGTCCTCGTGACTCACAGATACTTCCAAACAGTTGCAGGTGCCGAGGATACCAGTGCAGGTGATGCTACCGAACTCAAGTGGGAGTTCGACGAGGATCTGGGTCGTTACTACGTTCCGTTTCCTGATGGTCAGTAGTGGAGCCCAGTTGAAACGATTGGGGATCTAGCATTTGGGGTTCATCTTCCTTTTCTGTTGGATTTGACTGTAGTCGGTCTATGCGTGTATTTGAATGATGTATGAATTATTTATGTATTGTGTGAAGTGGCGACTGTAAGCCAACTTTTTATCCCTTTCTTATTCAGTACATGGGATTGTGTGAAGATTACCCGTCTTGCGACAAAACTACCATGCGGCTATGCCTCTAAGTCGTGCCCCGACGCGTGGGATATAGCCGCATTGTGGGTGTTACACTATGCATGCATCTGAATATGTTTGTAAATGTGGTGTGTATACCTGTTCGAAGTGGTATGTTCCTCATCCTCTAAAACACTATGTTCCTTAGTTTTAAAGAGCCCACATTCAACTAAGGTACCAATTAAGATCGGGTACCCGATTTTAACCAGGTCAACAATTTCTCAAATCAATCTCATTCAATTCTTATACTATACACTATGCTTTCTAATTTTTATGGCCTTGCAATTAATTGAGGTATTCAATTTAGAATTAGGTCAGATCGATTTTGATCGGGTCAACAATTTCTCAAGGGCTCTCCCATTCAATTCCGTTAATTCACTGTGTTCCTATTTTGAAGCTCTTTCATTCAATTGATGTATTCAATTTTAGATTTGGTTTACGATTTTGACTAGGCCAATGATTTTTCAAATCAATCAGCAACAACCGGCCTATAAAAACACACAACTTTTCACCCCCTAGAAAAAAGAAGTGCATTATGTGATACTGTAGCACCAATATAATACATGCAGCCACCGACGTAGAAATTTTCCTCAGATAAATATACATTGGTTAACAGATAACACAGAACCACACTACAAAAGGCCCATCAAATCACAACATTATAAATAAAAATAAAACTCACCCCATCATCACCCCCACTTGTCAAACTAAATATTCCATCAGTTCTAAAATATAAGGGGTATTAGTTTTTTGGAAAGTCACATTTCTTTAACTCTGACCAAATTTAGAGCAAAAAATATCGACATCCACAATATTAAACAAAAAAGTATAGAAATACATTTCATGATAAATCTAATCATACAGATTTGATATTATGAATTTTGATATATTTCTCTACAAATTTGATCAAACTTAAAAATTTTGACTTTAAAAAAAATAATACTGTACACCTTATATTTTGAAACAGAGTGAGTATTTTTTTTAAGAAACTCAACAACACCTACGTCGTAGCAAAGTGCATCCAACCCTTCTAGTTTTGATGATTTTGCACTGTCCCATGCATGCATGCTGATAGGTGGTTAAATCGTGCAATACAAAAAGGATACACGATCATGCCAAGCACTTCTTCAGTAAACCCGGCGAGCTCAAACTCAGGCATCACATGATTTTTTTAAATGTTCATGAATTTCAAAAAAATATTCTTGATTATAAAAATGTTAATAATATTTAAAAGAAAATTTTAAAAATAAAAACAGTAAGGAAATGGGAAAGAAAAACCGAATAAAAATCATGAATTGTAAAAATATGTATGTAAACTCAAAACTAATGATACATCGGGATCGGGTATTGTTCTTGGGTGGTCGAACCTCCTTGTGACCAGGCTGGTTATTTCTATCGCCCTGCATGCGCTTTTCCTCGCGGTGAAAAAACTGAATCTCCTTGTGACCAGGCTGGTTGATTGACCGCTGGAACCACCAACATTTTCACTTTCATTGAGATAGATTTCATTTTTTCTTTCGCCGTCGAAAAAAAGAGGGATGGGATGCCGATGAACTACGCCTTTCGATGGTTTCGATGACGGAACCAAAACAGTGTGCAGTACACCGGCCGTGTGTCTGTGTGGATGGGTCGCGCATTTCGACTTCATGTGGGTGCGTACAGTATCTATCTATATGATATCTATCTATCTACCGCTGTACCACAACTTTGGTTGGTCTAGCAAATAATTGAAGAGCGCCGCCCCAAGCAGAAGTAGCAGGCGGAGAGAGAGGGGGAGCTTCCCTTTCGGGCTTCACCCACACCCAGTGCCGGACTCCCCAATACGACCGCCCAACCAACACAAAGAAGAAGCAGCTTGACCTTGACCTAGGGGTCGGCAACGCAGCCGGCGGCGGCGGCGGGGGCGATCTGTCCACCCATGGACACGGACATGGACGAGTTCAGCAACCCAGGTGACCACCACCTCCCGTCCGTCCGTCCGTCTTCTTCTTTTTCTTTCTTTCTTGATTGATTTGATTCGCCCCCGGCCGGCCGGAGAAAAATGCCGCCTTCTCTTACACCGATCTGTGGCCCCATCCGTGTCCAGGCTGCGGCGGGACGGGCGGCGCCGGCTGCGACTGCCGGGACTGCGAGGACTACTGGAACCACGACCACGGCCACGCCAAGCAGTTCCTCCTCTTCGCCTCCGACCACAAAGATTTTCTGGTGAGAACCCCTCCTGCTCCCCCTTCTCTCTCTCTCTTTCTTGGTTCTGACTTCCCTCTGTACATTTCCTCATTCAAGGGTTCAATTTGAGGGTTTTTGGGGGCTGAAAAAAATGTTTAATTTCATCCTTGGCTTAAAATGTTGCTGCAAAATCTGCCTGGGAATGGATAGAACATGACATTTTGCCTGGGGGGAAATTTGTTTCACAACATGTGTACGTAATGTACCAGGAGGTGGCAGGAACAAGTCTGTACTGTGTGTTTATTGGTGAGCACTTTTTGCAAGGGAAAAGAATGATTCCCTTCCAATGCTGCTAGTGTTAGTCAATTCATCCTGTTGCTGCTCCTAGCAAGGGAGGGGTTTTCAGGATTATTTTGGGGGTGTTCAATTTTCACTCAAGAAACATGTTTAATTTCATTCTTATCTATGCCATGTGTGCCTGGAATAGGTGGCGTATTCATGGTAGAATTGTTTCAGGATATTTAGTTTTGGAAGAACCAACTCACAACACTATGAAGAGGTAGCAGGAAAGCAAACACTCTGTACATGTGTGTCAAACTAATCGTTGATACTGCAAGTGAAGCTACTACTCCCTCCGTTCCATATTACTCGTCGCCGATTTAGTACAAAGTTGTACTAAATCAGCGACGAGTAATATGGAACGGAGGGAGTAGCTCTTATGGAGATAGAGAATAACTACACTGCTGCCTGTGTGTGAACCTCTTATGGAGATCGATACTACTAGTACTGTACACTGCAGATGCACTGCATACCAATACCCTGAGCCCGCTATTATTAATGTTCACCAAAAACTTTGTTTTGTTTGTTTTCCATATCCTCTGCTAGTGCATGCAATCTGAATTGTGTCAGGCATTTTCTTCAAATAGTGTGAAACTCAATGCCCACAAACGCTGAAACCTGTATCTAACTCTAACCAAAGTGAATCTTTCTGACAGTGCATACCGTGGGAGGTCAGAAGACAGCTGAGAAATGTGATCACCGACGGCGAGCCTATCAAACTTGAAGCTCCCGATGGCCAGATGCACAGTGTTAAATTCGTCAAGTTCGGCCTGATAACTCTTACGACTGGCTGGCGGCGCTTTGTGAATGCAAATCGCATACGACGAGGTGACCCCATCTTGTTCGTCTACTGTGGGAGCTCCACGTTCAAGGTCCACATATGCAGTTCATCCAGTCACAAGAATTCTCTGCCCTGTTCTCAACAGCCTCCCAACATCCTTAGAGCTGTTCCTCCTCATGATCGTCATGTGCTGAATGGTAAAGTGAATTAAGACCTTCAAGTCGGGTGCTTTTGGTAATGCTTTTCTGATCAATGTAACAGTTTTCTTTCTTGATGCGCAGAACAAATGGTGCCTGGTCCTGCACATGTTGGCTATACCATATCCCTTGGGACCTGGCTAACCAAAGAACAAAAGAAGAAAGTGCTAGAGCTAGCTGATAGCAGCATGAGGTCTGAAATTCCTCTGCATGTGGCAGCTATGATCAAAAGAAATGCCAACGAGGACTGCTATGTTGTAAGTTGCATCCTTCCTCACATAATTTCCTGGTCGTGTTTGTTACTCTGATCCATAGGCTATTAATTCCTGCTTGTATTTTTTTTCTGTTCTTGCAGTACATACCGTTGAAGCTTTTGGACAATTTCAAAGAGGGGGTAACTGAAGCTGCCATTCAGCTTGAAGCCCATGGCAACGACATGGTATACAGTGTTGGCACAAGCAAGCACAGTGATGATCAAGTAATCCTCCAATCTGGGTTGAGTCATTTTGTAGCTTCTCTCCGCATACAAGACAACGACCTCCTCGTCTTCAGAAACAAGTGGAAAGACCGCCTTGAAGTTCTTGTCCTTGATCCGAGCGGCTGTGAGAAAACTTGTTTTGCCATGGGAAACTCTTCAAATGCTCAGGAGATTGCTTCGACATCCTCCCCTTGTACTAAGTCAGGTAATAGTATTGTAGTTAGTTACCATGTGTATTTCTTTCCATTTACCATATTTTAGACGATCAACTTGTGGTTATCGTATGCTAACCACAACAAAGTATGGCATGTTTTTTCAGGATACATCGCTGGCAGGTCGAATGAAACAAGTTCAGAAGCTCCTATGTCCAACAAGTCCTACATATTACCCGAACGGAAGAACCTAACTATGCAACAAGAGAAGAAAGTAAAGGAGAAAGTCCGGTCGATAGGATCTGAATTCCCTGTGTTTGTGAAGGTGATGACGGCACGCGATTTATCGAAGCCAACAAAGCTGGTGAGTTCAGAACTTCAGATGCCATGTGCAAAATGTATAGTCCATTTCTCATCCGAAAGCTCGCAAATTTAGAACCATTTTCTTGCTGAATTAATTATCGGCCTGAAATTCGATCGCCATCTTGACGCGCTCTTTTCTGAACAGAATTTCTGCGTGGAATATGCTTCGGCGTGTCTCCCGCTCGAACAAACACCTCTCCTACTTGGGCTGGCGGGCAGCACGATGCAGTGGCCTACAATGCTGACCGTCATGGAATATACGAATTGGAGGATGATTTCCTTACTCTGGAAGGACTTTGTCTTGCAGACCGAGATGAAGGCGGGAGACATCTGCCTCATCGAACTGGCAGACAGGAGCAGCGAGAGCCTCAAGATGATGGTCCATCTGATCCGCAAGTCAGAAATGCAGCTCTAGCTCTTAACAAGCATCTAGTTAGTGGTCTCTTTGTGTGTGGTCTGTAGTATGATGACTTTTAACTCAGCTGATGTATGCATTGCTTGATGATTATTTGGAACAACCTGATGTTAAGCAGGTCTCTAATGTGTAATGTAATCTGGGGAAACACTGAACCCTTGACCCACCTCTAGCACTGCTGCTGCTGCTGATGATGATTATTATTTTTTATTTGAAGACAGATTTTATTTTATTGCTGATTTATTTAATTTATATTGTTGCGACAAATCTTGTTCTGTCGCTGACTGGGGCGTCTCCAGCTGACCAAAAATTTCTTCAGCATCGTGCTTGTGTTCCCTACTTGCATGTGTGGCTGCTTCAATTTGGACCTGTTTTCTTGTTCAAAATGTTGTGAGTTGCATGAATGAGCAGATAGATGATTCAACCACACCGTCTAAACCTGATGTAAGGGGTCAGCTGCTCTGAATCGCTTTCAAGATCATATAAATTATGTACTTGCAATTAGTTCAGTGCTCTTTTGGGTATGTTATTTGTTCTAATAACGTGTCTCAAGGTACTCTAACTATGGTGAGGGACTGCACCGTGGATCTTCATCGGGTGGCGGCCGTGGTTATAACCAGTACAATTTCGAGAACACTGGACATTTTCAAGGTCCACCCGGTAATTTTGTTGAAGGTGTTGCCGGACCCAGGGATCGATTCTGAGGTGGCTATAGTCGCGGTGGGAGAGGGAGACGGCCACCACCGCCTCGACACTACTCACCGCCACCACCGCCTACTGCGGATATGGCCTCGGAGGAGGAGCTCGAGCATACAGCTGATGGGGGTGGGAGACCCATCCACGTTACCCGCGGTGGCAGTGGACGCGGTTCGGGCTCTCGCAGCAGTGCATGTTCCAGTGACTACAGGAGGTGGTAAATCTAAGGATGGCACGTCTGATAAAAGGCCGAAGAAAGCGGAGGGCGAAAAGCTCTCTAAGTGGGCAATTAAGAAGAAAAAGTTGCCTTGTTATAGATGTGGTGAACCGGGTCATTTCGTGGCAGAGTGTACGAATGAGCTTTGTGATTATTGCCTCCGCTCCCAGCATGTGACCGGGGAATGCCCTCTCTTTTCTGGTCCTAAGCCTGGCATTAACATCTTTGGGGTCTGCTGTAAGGAGTTGATGTTCTTTGAGACACCGGAGGTGGATCCTCTACCACAGATGATTGAGAGTTCTTTCCCGGCAGTTATCAGAGTTACTAATGGACAGTTGACCGAGGCTCAGATCGTCAGACAACTACGTGAGTTAGTGCCGGGTAATTATCAGTGGCAGCTGGAGCATTAGAAGGTCGGTCTTATAAGGTTGGCTTTCCCACTAAAAAGGATCAGATGCATGTTCTTAAGTGGGGTTTATGCAGAGTTACGAGCACAAATATTGTTATCGCTTTCGACGAGTGGAAGCAGGAGGAACCTAAGGGTACACCTTTGGAGAAGGTGTGGGTTCGTTTTTATGGCGTGCCACCTAAATATGTAAAACATTTTCTGATTGCTTGGAGTTTGGGTGGTTTAATTGGTAAGACAGAAAAGGTTGACATGCCATTCACTCGCGCACAAAACGCTGCGAGGCTTTTGGTCAGTGTTGAGCATATACCAGATGTAGTCAGATGGACACATGCTGGAGTCACTTATGTCTTAGAGCTTCAGATCGAGGATACTGCAGTTTCCGAGGATGGGGATGGGACACAAGACATGGATACGACTGAGGGTGGCGGCGCACCCGGGAACCAGGAGAAGGGGGCCGATGATACACTACCAGAGTCGGACAAGAGGCCAGCAACATAGTCAGATAAGGTAGCCAGTTCTACCAAAGAGGCGCCCCCGTCCACTACTCCGATGAACACACTTCGCTTTGGTTCATTTGCACCGGGGTCCGCTCCTAGCCGGTTATGGAGCACCAGGGTCGAGGCAGACGACCCGACAGAGCTTGAGCTGCCACCAGTGCCGAGTTTAGTCGGCGATATGACGATCGCGGAGCCTACTCCCGGTGCGAGGGTGGCTTCTGTTGGGATGGCCGCGGGTTTGCGGGGCCGTGGGCAGGATGTCCATCACACCCAGATACCAGAGCCCGACTTTTCGTCGGCGGGAGGGGCGCCTGGACAGGAGGTCTACGGTGCTCTTCCTATTTCCACGTCTCCGGTCGAGTTGGGGGTGAGGTGCGGGAAGGAGTCCCGTGCTATAACCCCTCCACGGGACCGCGCCATCCACAGTGGCGAGCCGGGGGTGAGATGCGGGAAGAAGTCCCATGTCGTAACCCCTCCGCGGTATTGTACCGAGAAGGGTGGCCGAGGGACGACGGTTTCCACGGGTGATAAGGGGGACGGGATCAGTGAGCAGGCGTCTCCACGGTCCTCCTCCCCCTTGCCACTCACAGCGGAGGTTCACTCCACCACGCCTTACCCTCCTTCACCGACGATACGGGAGGGGCGTGGGAGTCCTGACCGCACCCCACGCGAGAGGACCATGGAGGAGCTCATCGCTTTTGGCGGGATTGCGGATCCGGTGTCGGCTGGCAGGCGTGTCAGCAACCGGATCCAGGGACAGCCGGATGCGGACGACCTGCAGCTAGCGCGTGCCAAGAGGGTCATCCTTTGATATAAGTTGTTCAATTTTACACTTCTCTGAGAATGAAATAGTTGATAAGGCAAACGACTTAGGCATTTCTTTGGGATCAAATGAAACCGAGGTCGTCAAATCCGTTAATGATCTTCTAGACATGGAAGCGGAGAGGGCTTCTGAGATCATTCGTAATCTTGCCTCTATCCAACCTATGAATGACAATGACATGAATAATTTAGGAATTAATGATCTTGCAAATATCTGTAATAATCTCTTGCCTAGTGTCGAGGTTGAAGATGAGGAGGAAGTTGAGAACACAGATACAGTAGAGCCTCTCTTGATGGACGAGGCAGTGTCTGTCATAGATAATACTATCATCCCGCGGCGTGTTGAGGAGAAGCCCAAACGACCCTGGAAGCGGAAAATTTATCCTACTTTGGCAGTACGCAGAAGTGTTAGAGTTAAACTTAAGAAAAAAAATTCATAATGACTTATGAAAGGACTCTTTTGGAATAGCAGAGGTCTAGCAGACTTGGCTAAACAAAGATTCTTAGCAAAGACAACATTAGAGCATCACTTAGATTTCATTGCACTTTTGGAAACTGGACAAGATAATTTTACATCCCAATTCCTTCAAACCCTCTCCAGTGGTATCGATTTTGACTGGCACATTTTACCACCTAGAGGAAGATCCGGCGGGATTTTACTAGGAGTACGGTGTGAGACGTTAGAGGTGCTTAATGTGGTGCAGGGAGACTTTTTGGTTAAATTCAGGGTGAGATCAAAATTGGATGGGTTTCGATGGTCGCTAGTTGCGGTATATGGGGCAGCACAACCTGAATTTAAACCTAATTTTCTTGCCGATTTAGTGCGGATTTGTGGAGATGAAAGTCTGCCACTACTAGTCGGGGGGGATTTTAATATCATTCAGAGAAGAGAAGAAAATAATAATGACAATTTCGATGGACGTTGGTCTATGATATTTAACATGATTATCGAGAGCCTCAATTTGAGAGAAATTGAGCTCACCGGTAGACAGTTCACATGGGCCAACTCGTTACCTGTTCCGACTTATGAAAAGCTGGATATGGTACTTGCTAGTGTGGAGTGGGAACAAAAATATCCGTTGGTGTCGGTTCATGCGATGCAAAGAGCGATCTCGGATCATACACCACTCTTTTTAGATTCGGGAGAGGCTACCCATGTTGCAAACAAAAGTATCTTCTCCTTCGAGCAAAGCTGGTTTGAGCGAGAAGGATTTATGGAGATGATTGCACGCGAATGGGCTAAGCCAGTTACGGGAAGGACACATGTCGAGAGATGGCAAAATAAGATTAGACACCTTCGACAATTTCTGAGAGGATGGGCCAGGAATGAGAGTGGGATTTATAAGTAGAAAAAAGAACGTCTAACTCAACTCATTGAGGCACTAGATGTAAAGGCTGAAACCACTCTTCTTTCTGTTAATGAGCATCGAACGAAGTCCGAGCTGAGCAAGGCCTATGTGCTCTCTTCAGAGAGGAGGAACTCAAGTGGGCGTTGCGTGCGAAAACGCTTAAGGTTGTCCAAGGGGACGACAACACATAGTTTTTCCATATGGTTGCAAATGGTAAACATAGGAAGAAGAAGATCATACAGCTTGAACAGGACGAGGGAACAATAGTGGGGCATGAAAATCTGAAAGCATATATTTCCAACTATTATAAAAGCCTTTTTGGACCTCCCAATACTTCCATGGTGTCTCTTGACGAGTCTATGATTGATGATATACCTCAATTACAGGCAGCGGAGAACGATGTTCTCTCTGCACCGTTTACTGAAAAAGAAGTTCATCTGGCCATAACCCAAATGAAGCCGAATAAAGCACCGGGACCAGATGAGTTTCCAGCTGAATTCTATAAGAAATGTTGGCATATCATTAAAGATGATCTTATGCCTATGTTTCATGATTTTTTCGATGGCCATTTGGAGTTGTTTCACCTCAACTTTGGTACGATAACGTTATTACCGAAGAAGAATGAGGCGGTCTGGATAGAACAATTCCGACCCATTTGCCTGCTGAATGTGAGTTTTAAAATCTTCACAAAGGTAGGAACCAATAGATTGACACAAATTGCTCACTCGGTGGTTCAACCTAGTCAGACAGCTTTCATGCCGGGACGACACATACTCGAAGGAGTGGTTGTCTTACATGAAACACTTCATGAGATTCACTCGAAGAAACTAGACGGGGTTATCTAAAAAGTGGATTTCGAGAAGGCTTATGATAAAGTAAAATGGCCTTTTCTTCAGCAGGCAATGCACATGAAGGGTTTTAGTGAAACCTGGAGGCACCAGGTGGATACTCAAGTCCAGAAAGGTAGTGTCGGAATTAAGGTGAATGATGACATCAGTCATTACTTCCAG